TCCAAGCTGCAATCCAATCCAATCCTCCTCCTCCTCCTCCTCTTCCTCCTCCTCCTCTTCCCTCCTCCTCCCCCTCCTCCCTCTACTCCTCCTCCTCCTCCCCCTCCCCCTCCTCCTCCTCCCTCTGCTCCTCCTCCTCTTCCCTCCTCCTCTTCCCTCCTCCTCCTCCTCAGCAGCAGCATGATCGTGACCCTCCTCCTCCAATCCAAGCTGCGATGCGCGAAGCGGGATTACCTTCGCTGCGGGCAACAATTATATCCACATCCAATGCGTCCTGGAGTTTCGGGCTCTCTCCCCCCAGAAGCCGGAGGCGGACTGGATATGGATACACATCTGGCCCCAAAAAGCTCGGTGTTTGTCCATATCCAGTGCGCCTCGGCCTTGCGGCACTCTTTCCCACAAAGTCCAAGACGCTCTGGATATGGATATAAGTGTTTCCTGTATTCGCGCCACTGGGACTGCCCTAGGCTTCTGCAGACGTCGAAGATCGGCTGCAAGTGAACGGTTTTCTTATTCGGCGTTTCGACATTGGGCGGAAAGGGGGGGGACGGGGGGGGGGTCTGGCGCCGAACCTCTGCTTAGCGCGAGTGTTTGCAACAGGGCGTCCATTATGGGGGAGACTCCGCCTGCTCGAAACAGGCGCCACAAACAGCAACAATCTACTCCGAATGGGGGTGCGAGGGCCCGCGACGATCGGTAAAACAGTGAATTAAAAAACGATCGCATGAACGAAGCGTGATCACCTTCGCGCCCCTGGGGGTAGGCGTCGAAGATCGGCTGCAAGCCAAAGCTCGAGTAAAACTATATGTTTCGTGTCTGGTTTGGTTTCGTCCTCTTTCGATCTGTATCCGTTCTGCCTTTGCTGCGAAACGGAATCAAAACGACGACAGCCCACGAAGTCGCAGAAACACCGTGTAGCTCGAGCCCTGCTGCAAGCACGTATCCCCCCATCCCAAGGTTCCCCAAGCGCTCCGACGCCGTCCGCCCATGCGCTCGCCAGCGCCTCCAAGATGGCAAGTCTCGCTTCCATGACGGTCAGAGAACGCCAGGCACAATAGGCGCCCAACCAGCCCCAGGGGGCCTTGAAGAGGCTCTCCTGCCCTGTGATGGTCATGTTTCCACCAGCCCGCTGGGCGTAGGTGGTCTAACGAGAGTCTTCGCTCCTCTTCCGAGATGCTTCTTCCCTTCGGTGAGTGGTGGCCACCCGCGAAGTGTCGGGGCTTCGTTTGCGCCCAAGGTGAATTCAAGAGGGCCTCCGATGCTCCAAGATTGCCTCCAGCGATGGCTCAAGATACGCACTCGAAGATGGTTCGATATGGTCCCCGTCTCCAAAAAGACCACACGACGACTCCAAGTGCTCTCGGAGCCCCCATCCAAGAAACTCCCGAGTGGCCAGCATCCTTCCAAAACCGGCGCGTAATCATTGTGCTGTGCTTTTTCGCCTTCTCGCGTCCGACGGGCCACTTAGGGCCCAGGATGGCCCCAAGAGAGGCCCAAGAAAGCCCCAAGAAAGGCCCAAGAGGCTCCCAAGGCGGCCCCAAGGCCGCCCAGGCGGCCTGAATGAGGGAACCCCCGTCTTTTGATCGACGCCCTCCAACATGGCCCCTCGAGGCTTCCAGGGGCCCCAAGAGGCCCCCAAGAGGGCTAGAAGGAAGCTCCACACGCCCACAGAAGAGTCCCAAGAGCACCACAAGATCCTGCCAAATAGCCCTTCCTCCTCCTCCTTTTCCTCCTCCTCCTCCTCCTCCTTCTCCTACTTGTCTTCGTCCTCTTCTTCCTCGCCTTCAGCTTCCTCCTCTTCCTCTTCATCCTCCTTGTCGTCATCCTCCTCGTCCTCCTCGTTCTCGTCTCCGTCCGGGGTATGATAAGGCTGTTCCAGAACTTGTTCCACGGTATGCTTCTGCACTGTCCTAATCAAGACAGCTCGCCTGGGCATTGTTTCTGCCGTTGTTTCTGCCTCTGCTGGTGGGGATACTTGTTTGTCAACAGGCTCGCGAGGCGGGTCGAAAGCCGTCCGAACGGGCCGCAACTAGGCAGCAGGAAAGAAAAGCAAGCGAAGCGAGCGAGCGGGCAGCCACTCAGAAAACCAGAACCGATACTCCCAAACCCGGTGGCGTTGGAAATCCCGGTGGCGACCAGCAAGTAAGCGCAGCCAAAATGGCGCGGCGGCGCGACCATAAACACGCAGAGGTCGATCGCTCGGTGTGAGTCAGGCAAACAGCACCGTCAGAGACGAACGACAGGCACACCCAGACGACATCCGTGAAGCAGGTGGCACAAATGCTAAAACATCGTGTCGGCGCGAGAGTGAAGAGGGGCAACCTCATCACCGCCAAAAACTGGTGGGGACACGCGAAGCGTAAGACATGCCTCCTCGGCGCTATCGTAGATGGCCAGCCGGAGAGCGTATCCGACAGACACTCACACAGTATCAAACAGTACCTCGTACCTCATGGAAGCACATGCCAGGTGGATCCTGAGCGCTGTCTTACGTACCATGGTCAGCGGGAGGGTGCATCACAACCCCGCCAACGAATCCCTGGCGCTTCCTTAGACGCCCAGTGGGAAGGTGACGCCCCTGGCCCGTAGGAGCGCTTGATGGAAACTGAGGCACGGTTCCCCCCCATCAATAGGAAGACTGTGCCCGTGATGAATCCACAGATGATGCGGGGTCAGAGACTTGATGAAAATCGAACTCTGCGTCAGTCAAGCGGGCATTTCGCGCGAGGTCCTTGCGCCCCACAAGTGGAGACGGCGTTGGACAACTGTTCAGTAGCACGCGCTTTGATACGAAAGTGAGAACGACCACTGTGCACTGAAAATCTGTTCTCGAGCAAGACGTCACAGGATCTCCACCTCGCCCTGAACTTCGCCCGAGCGGGGGCGCCCGCCACCTATTCACTGGAGCTGGGGGTGAGACGGTGCCGCGCTTTGGAGGACTTGAGCACCGAGACTGGCGCTCAAGGGGCAGGAGGAGGACGGACCGACCGACGCGCCAGGGCTGGACGGAGTCACATCACGGCGGGCGCATACGACAAGACGCCTGGCTATAAGGAATATGTGGGTACTCCAGATTTCGTAATAAAGGGAGGGGGGTCTCATTTCGGGGGGGGGTCTCTTCCAGGCCATCTTGGAGGGCCTGGGGGGGTCCGGGGACGATGTTTTGGAGGGTTCTCCCACGGGGGGGGGTCTGAAATGGCTTGTCTTGGAGGGTCCAGACCCCCTCCCTTTTATTACGAAATCTGGAGTACGTTCGTCGTTGACCCCTGGACTCTCCAGGTTGCCCCAAGGTTTCGGAGGGCGCCCGGGGCCACCGCGGGATAACACATTTCCGTGGGGCACCGGCTCCGCCCGAGAAACGTGTATACTATACCCAAGAGCCCCGGGGGGCGAGCGAGGGTCCTGGTCGTGGGTAATCAAAAAAACGTCTCTCCCTGGGGAGAGACGTTTTTTTGATTTAAAAGAGTAAAATTCCGCCCCCTGGAGACCGTTCAGCAGACAAAAACCACGCCCAGCTGGGCGCGGTTTTTGTCTGCTGCAAGTGGCCCCGGGGGGCGGAATCTTACTGTGGGGCGGATGCTGGCAGGCTGCCTTCTTATTTGGTGCACCTGTTGCAGACTGTAGATCCGAAGGCCCGTGCGCTCCCAGTCGGGCGCGAGCGCTGGTCAGGGAGGAGCAGGAGACACGGAGGCGTCAAACGGGACAAGGAGGGGGAGAGCAAAGGGGGGGGGAGCGAATCAACTTACAGGGCCGGGACAACCAAATGATCGTTTTGTTGTCTTTCCTGGGTAACGGTCGTTACCCTCGGGGAGGGGGGACGGGGGTTCAGGCGGGAGGGTAACGGTAACGACGGCCGTGGCGTGCACCCGCCAGGGTGCGTCCGCGCCGCCGGCGGGCGCATCAATCGCCTGTGCGCACCACAGCATCCAGGGGGGGGGTCCAGGCTACCCCCCCCAGTACGATCGTTGGCGTTACCCGGGGGGGGGGCCTGGGTAACGAGCGTTACCCTGGAGAGGAAAAAAAAACGCTCACCAAAAGGTCCCGATACCGCTGCTCCCCAGACCTCTCCTGGTGTGCGCTCTGGCCAGAATTTCGAAGCGAATCCAGCGGTGGCGACAAGGGCCTCCCAGGAGGCCCGAAACGGCGAAAGCGAAGCAAGGGTAGCAGCGTGGCTTCCTCTTCCTCCTCTGCGCCTCCCCCGATAGTGCATCCGCACGTTCCTGGGCAGGTCGGGGCCACCGGATTCTCATCGGCGCTCCGTGGGCCAGTGGGGGTCGATGTATCCCCCCCCTAGGCCTGGACCCCCCCCCTCTGTAGCCCCAGACATGCGACGTCCTGATTTTTTCAAGACGGCGTCCCTGGAAGTCCCGACCCTTTCCCCGGGACCAGTTTTTCGTCCTGAGCCGTTTTTTAACGGTCCCGAGGCCTGGCGAGGGCCCCCCGGGGCCGAAAATAGCGAAAAACTTCCCGTCGTGATTTTTTCACGACTCGAGGAGGTCTGGGTATCCCCCCCGAGGCCTGGACCCCCCCCCCTCCCCCCTGTGGCCGCCCCTGGCCTGCGCCAGGAGGCGGCGCCAGAGGAGCCCGTGCCACTACAGGGAGAGCACCCGGCGGCGGGGCCGAGAACCGGCCGCACACAGCCGGCTGCGCACCCCTGCGCACACCGGCCGCGCACAGGAGGAGGAGGAGGAGGAGGAGGAGGAGGAAGGAGGGAGGAGGAGGAGGAGGAGGAGGAGGGAGAGAGGAGGGGGAGGGGCACGGGGAGGAGGAGAGGAGGAGGAGGAGGGGGGGCGGGGGGGGGAGGAGGAGGAGGAGGAGGGGGAACAAGACGTCGGCGGAACCTGTCGGCGACACGGGGCGCCCGCGAAGCGCCCACGGGCGCTCACCGGGCGAAGCCGTTTCGCTTGTGGGCGCCCCGCGGCCGGCGCGCGGGGCGCCCACGAGCGAAACGCACGCGGAGCAGACTCTTATGCGGATTCCTATGCGCACACCTACCCAGA